TGGACCGTCCGTTCCGGCTTTCGGGTTTTCGAAAATTAGACCGAAGTAGGGTTAAATCACCTTATAAGAAGGAGATTAAAATCCTAATAAAAGAAGAGACTTTTTGAGCCGTCTGGTACAGAACTTTGAGAGCTTTTGGGTAAGATCCAAAGAGTTCTAAGAGTTCCAAGTCTCGTTTTCTCGAAACTCGAAACCGAATAGCTGATTCGGGTCTTAGCAGACAAGTTCCAACTGTTGGAATCCATCCTGAGGTATGGATACGTGTAGAGGGCGAGGTATTCTTCCTCCCTTTCGTGATCAAACGAGTTCTTCAATTGATACAGGCCCCGGATCGATTGAGGTAAGCGTTCTAACGTTTCTACGATTCATAGAAGCATGGTTCTAGGGTTTCATTCAAATTTTTGTTTTATATCCACTACACAAACCTTAGAATCGATCTCTTAGGAATATGATTCGCTCTAGAGATCCTAGGAATCCCTTCAGCATCGAGCTCATAGCGGTGGAAAGAGAGGCTATCGTTTTATAGTCTGAAAATCGATACAGAGATCGGTTAGTCAAGAAGCCTTTTGGATAGGCAAAATGTAATATTGTTTTTCAAAGAGTAGGTCAAATGCTTGTGTTCATGGGTTGTCGTGAGAGTGTATCAAACTTCTCCTGCAACGTATGTGTAGAGCCTAATAGTTGCATGATGATTATGCTGTGCATTTTTCATCCTCATACAGTTTGATTAAGCTATCGTTTTCCTTGAAGTGGTTTTTGCATGTCTTACTTTGATTAGGGTTTGTAAACCGTTTTTCCGGTTTTAATTAATTTTGTACGATATTTTTTTTTGGTAAAGGTGATTGTATTAAACTCAAAAATAATGTTTACAACTAGTCTATAGATGTATACAAAAACATAAGATTGTGGAAGTGGTACAAAAAATTGATCCCTGAAACGACCAAGAATCAATGTAACAAACTATCAATCTGACTGAAGTGGTACAAAAAATTTTTTTTATGATATTTGATTAGGGTTTGTTTCCATTTTTCTCTTCTTTATTTGGACTTGTTGAAAGTGCCCGAGGACAAGGATTCAAAGACTCTGTATCAAACAAAGTGTTTAGGGCAATAGGGTAATTCTAGCCCTGGTTATTTTACAGAAGCGTATGACGGAGGTATATATATATATATATATCGGAGTCTGCCATTGTTAAGTGTGCTGAGCAATTCTGTTCTGTTGTATACGAAAAACCCTAAGATCACCTAATAAAGATTTCCCTCTCTCCCGAGACGTAGGATCGTACTGAACTCGTAATTCCTGTTGTCTTTTACATTTCTGCATTCTTTAATCGTTGTTCTTTGCTAAAGCGTGAGTTGAGAGATCGAATAGATCTGGGCAAGATATCGGATTCACAGACGAAGATAGTACAAGACTTATATCTAAATGACTTTTTCTTCAATTTTTTTTTTCAAAATCACAAGGAAATTCGATATTTAGTATAATAAATAAAAAATATTATTTTGTATATAATATAAACTAAATAGAAGATTCAAATATATAATATCAATCACTTAAAAATAATATAATAGAAACTTTTGTGAATTTTTTAATAAATTTTTGAGAAAAATCTTTCAGAAACCAAATAAATATGATATAAAATAAGAAAAAGATAATGAAGATAAAATCAAATGAATATATGTATCTTCATCTCTTAATTAGAGGTTAGGGGTTCGAACCTTACTCTAGAAATAGAGTAATATGCGAGACTAGTTCTTTATACCCAAGAACGAATGGAGATTAATATGAATGTGTAAAATAACGTCGTTTATGACATCTCGTGGTCAATCTCCAAAAAATATTTAAAAATTTATTTGATATTAAGAAACAGATTTTAGAATTTTTATTTATATGCGTTAGGACACTTTCCATGAGAGCCACACACATAATCTCGCATTACTAGCATTTTGATTAATTTGATATAAATATCGTTGTAATATTATAAAATAAAATAAAAGTACTCATGTCAAGGACATTATGTTCGAGAGACAAGACAGAAGATATTCACAGAAATTTTTCAACCCAAAATACTCCAATAGATCCATCCTTTGTACTTCGGCATCTTTTATTTTCATACCGTTTAAAGGATTTCTTAAAAAACTATAATCATATATGTTTATTTGCTTTTTGGCCTATAATTAATTGAGATAAGATATTCCCACCAATACTCGTTGTTTTTATTATATGAATATCATTTGAATTTATGATAATATATAAATTGTTCAGGATTTATGTATTTGCTACTATATGCATTTAGTAATAAAAATGTTTGCACCATCTACAATCGTTTTCTCATATTATGAATTATATAAATATAGATTCAATACATATGGTTATGATTGAGAAATGTTGGTTTTCATATTCCATAGGTAGGGACCACAATAATATATATGACTCGTTTACTAAGAAAGATTCATGAACTTTGTTCCATACGGGGATCTCCCCCAGCTCTGTTGGTTTGACAGCTCACTTCCTGAACAAGAGATCGTGGATTCAACACCCAGAGTATGGAGATTTCCCCTCCGGCCACCTTCGGGTGCTTACATCCCACACGTGTGATGTCGGTTGTGCGTATGGGTCGGGATTAGTCTGGGCCCTTTGGACCTGGGATTACCCAGTTATCAAAAAAAAAAAAAAAAATTTGTTCCATACTTGTAACGGAATGTGAAAAATAATGCTTTCGGACCTTCACCTGAATTATTTACATAGGTCCCACTTACACCACACTCATGTTTTTCATGTGATTATAACTTGTCAAAGCTTCTATTAAAAGAAATTGGTTGTTAGTTGTTAGTAACGAGCAGTTGCATATCATCATTTCTTCTACTAAGTATATATATTGACTATAAAAGGGTATACAGATTCGGCCTTTCACTTCAATATAATTTCTCAAAGCGATAGATATTGAGAATCAAGATTCAGAGAGTGTTTGTTTCCGAGAACAAAAAGTCATGGATGCCGAAGGAGAAAGGCAATGGAACTCACTGATTGTACCATCTGTTCAAGAACTGGTTAAGGATAAGAACATTACCACTGTTCCTCCGAGATACGTACGGTCTGATCAAGATAAAGTTGAGATCGTTGATGATTCTGGTATCGGACTCGAAATTCCGGTTATCAATATGAAGAGTTTATGTTCTACAACTACCATGAATTCTGAACTCGCGAAGCTTGATTTCGCTTGCAAAGAATGGGGATTTTTCCAGGTAAAATCTCAAAATGAATAAATATTATTTGAACGCAAGAATAAAAAGCATACATATATATATTTCTGATTTAAGACAAATCTATGTCATTGACTTTTGAAAGCTTCCTTATTATATTTACTCCCCAGCTTGTAAACCATGGAATAGAGCCATATTTTTTGGATAATCTAAAGGCAGAGATTCAAGATTTCTTCAACTTTCCAACCGAAGAAAAGAAGAAGTTTTGGCAACGAAGTGGCGAAATCGAAGGGTTTGGGCAAGTGTTTGTAGTTTCAGAAGATCAGAAACTCGACTGGGGCGACAGTTTCTTTCTCACCACTCAACCAGTTCGATTACGTAAACCTAGTTTGTTACCCAAACTACCTATTCCGTTGAGGTAAAATTTTGTTTATTTTCTTGTCATCAAAGGCGAAGTATTCTCCCTCAATGAGCTAAATCTCATCTATGAAATTTTTTCTTTTTTTTATCTAGGGATTTGCTAGACACCTATTCAACTGAAGTAAAGAACTTAACTAAGATTCTCTTGGCGAAAATGGCAATAGCCCTGAAGATCAAACCCGAAGAAATAGAAGATTGGTTCGAGGATTTATGGCAGTCAATAAGGATGAACTATTACCCTCCTTGTCCAGAACCTGATAAGGTCATCGGTCTAACTCATCATTCGGATGTTGTCGCTCTCACCATATTGTTACAGATGAATGAGGTGGAAGGCCTCCAAATCAAGAAAGATGGCAAATGGGTTCCTATCAAACCCCTTCCAAATGCTTTGGTTGTCAATGTTGGAGATAGTCTAGAGGTTAATCCATCCACCAATTTATATTCATTCATTCATTTTATTGCAAGGAATAAGAATACTAACAAGCCTAACCTCATCGTCGTTGTAGATCATAACGAATGGAATATATCGGAGCATCGAGCATAGAGCAATGGTGAACACAGAGAAAGAGAGGATTTCGGTTGCGGTGTTTCATAGTCCAGGGTTGGATACAAGATTTGGTCCGACGAAAAGCCTTGTGGAGAGGCTAAACAATGCATTTTTCAAAAGCGTCAACACTGAAGAGTACTTCAATATCTACTTTGCTAGGGAGCTCAATGGAAAATCTCATCTCGATCTTTTCAGAATATAAACAAAAAACCTTAATAAAATTATATAAATATTTATATATATTATGGCTTGCGAGCAACCTCTTACGTGTTTCTGTAAAAATAAATTCGCAAGACATTGTTGTTTTCATAAAAGTAAGGAAAACGGTTGTGTTTTAGTGGATTTTGATAGTTTATTTTTAATTTGACATTCACAGAAAACTTAATATTTGTTTTTAGAAGTTTTAAGGTTTGATATTTATCTAGAAGTTTTTTACAAAGTTAGGAATTTTATCTTGAATACGGGAAAAACCATGGCACGATTTTGTTTGTATATTTTGGAGTATATAAACATGTAAGAAAATGGGAGAAATGTATACAATTAAAGTAAAAAGGAAAAAAAAACTGATATCTCCTCTCATAATTATCGGAAATATAAATTTATTTTTATAATAATCATTTTTCATGTGATCATTTTACTTGTAGCAAATTAATTGAACTTTAGTCCAATTCTGTAATCACAAAGAAGGGAAAAAAAAAAAAGAGAACATATGATATGTTAAATGAAAAATCCACGCTATAATCACTTGTGTTCTATAAACGTTTGCTAACCATCATCTTCAAAAACAAGAAATAGTTCTTGTGATGCATAACACTATATTATATAAATGGAAGACTAAGCCAAAAAATGACTAAACTCTAATTATAAAATGGGGCAATGGCCAAAAAAAAAATATGAACTTTGTGTATTTCATAAATAAATACACAAACTTTCATTTTGGTAATAAAATACACCAACTTTTGTATTTTTAGTGTAAATCTCCACGAACAGTAACGACATCAAAAAAATAACAGAACCATCAACACGTCATCTATAGTTGTATATAAATGTCATATCATTTGTTTAATAAAGTCATGTCATTAATCATGTTTAGTAAATTTATTATTAACATTGTTTGCCATTTTGTTTTTTGATGTTCAAAACATAATATATTTGCATTTCAAGGGTCCACTTTCTATATATATATATATATATTATGTTTTGAAAATCAAAAAACAAAATCATTAAACTAGATTAATAATAAATTTACTAAACATAATTAATGACATGATTTTTTTTATTACCAAAATAAATGTGATAGCAAACATGATCGATGTATCGAAGCATCGAGCTCAAAGCGGTCAGAAAAAGAGACTATTGTTTACGATATTTTATAGTCTGAAAATCGATACAGAGATTTTCTTTTCAAAATTGACAAAATGTAGCATTTTTTTTTCTTTTCAAAATTGTGGCTTGAGAAGAGTAGTTCAAATGAAAACTTTTACCCTCGATGCCATGAGAGTGTATCAAACTTCCCCTACCGCAACATGTGTAGAGCCCTAATGGCTGCATGATTATGCTATGCATTTTTCATCCCCTTACGGTTTAATTAAGCTGTCTTTTTTCCTTGCAGTGGCCGACTTGGTCATCTATTAATCAAATTATTTCCCTTATATTTATGCAAAACCAAAGTAATTTTTGCATAACCCTTACTTTGATCAGGGTTGTTTTGTTTAATTTTGTAAGATATAGATTCGATAATTCTGATGTTATTTTATTAGGGTTTGTTTACATTTTTCTCTTATTTAATTTGGACTTGTATTTAAATGACTTATTCTTCATTAAAAAAAATTTCAATATCACAAGAAAATTCGATATTTTAATATGTGTGTATGGCGTAAGATTTAATTAGGGTCAACTGTCACTGTAACAACCCAATTTTTGTAAAAAAAAAAAACTGGACCGTCCGATCCAAAAAGTCCGGACCGGACGGACCGGATTGTCGGCAGCAACGTGCGAGATTTTCGTCCAGATCCGACCTGAAAGCGATCGATACCTACCAATCTTCGACCAAAATCCGGATTTTTCAACCCCTGGGCCAGAACTCTATCCATGTTTGTCGAATACGAGCCTTCTTAACCCCTCTCCCCCTTCATTCTTCATCATCTCTCTAACACTCAACCCTCTCTGCAAATCCGGAAAATTCCATCCTAAATCCGAGAAATTAACACCTCAAATTGGTTTCCACAGAGTAAGAGGAGCATCAAAAGCTTCCCATTCATCACCCAACACACGAGGTTAACCCGAGGTGAGTAAATTCAAGTTTAATTCGGAAGTCTATTGACATGGGGTTTTGGGTTTCTGTGTGTTTCGATGCGAAATTGATGCTTGATTCGTGTTAAACATGAGATTTTATGAGTTTTAGTGTATTACCATAGTGAATCGTGCATGTTTGAGTGATTTTGATGAAATCCGAGGACTAGAACATCCGGTTTGAGGTCAGACCGTCCGGTCAAGGGCTGCAGGAGAAAACGCGAAGTCAAAAGGTTGAAGACGAAGTCCAGACCGTCCGTTCTGGACAAGCCAGACCGTCCGGTCTGGACAAGGCGGAACGACCGTTCTGAACCGACTAGACCGATCGGTTTAGGAGATAGACCGATCAGTCTGAACGAAAATCAGCCCGGAAAAAAAAAAGAGACAATGAAATTTCACCAGGTGAGAAAGTGAAAAACTAGACTAATCACACCTAATATTACCTCGACTCAATATAGTGAAAAATGAAAAATAAACCGAAAATACGGGTCCGAACAGATCCCACGTAGTCTGAACCCAAAATGGATACCAGGTAAGCCTAAAAACCATGGAATGAACCGAACTGGTTATCCGGGTGGACCGGGTCCAGATGGGTCAAACGGAGGTACAATTCGGTAAGTTAACTGGAAAGACTCAAAGAAAATATATATAAATGAATTTAAAAGACTACGCAAACGGAAATGCATATATAGTAAATAAACTATATAAATGCGTGTGATTGGGGTAGCTGGCATGGCGTTAACGTTAATTCGAAAGGGTCGGATTAATGTTTAGTGTGTGATTGTAGAAACAGACGTTTGTGATTGATTGCACGATGTTTGTGAGATTGCGTCCCATCCATGGGCCATCCGATCCGGGTCGGATGTCACCCATATGAGATATGGTTGTGATTGAGGCGATGACCTAATCGCGCCAACGTCCGAATGATAGGACGGTTATGGGCACCCCGATTACTTGCGTAGATAGCCGATTGTAGTCGGTACTATTACGTGACGAGGAAAATACAGTTCTTGGTAATCGCGCCAACGTTTCCGCTAGTGACAGAGCGGATTCCGAGATATGATTATCCCGAGGATGAGACATTATACATATCTGAGATTCGGATAGATTGGGGTCTCCCGAGGAGGTGATACGGACTTACTCTGCCAGGTTCGGACACGAACCTAACAAGTATTTCTGCAGCGGACGGTCGGCGAGGGGGAGTTGCAGCGATTGGCTCTCCCGTTATAGTTGATGGCATCAGTTGTAGCCGACGTCTGGTGAACTTCGGTATTGAGAGGTGACATCAATGCCAGAGCGAGGTGACATGCCTAGTATCGAGAGGTGACATCGATGCTAGGGTGGGGTGATATGTTCGGGCGGAGAAAAATATATCTATGCCGGATCCGGGTGATTGCAGAGTAGATGGATTCCGAGGAGAGAGGTGGTTGTGCTATGCACATGGGGAGTATATTACCTACGCATGGTGCGCGTAGAGACGATTTGACGGACTCTGTCATGCGACTTGTCGTATGGACTTGATTGTGATTGCTGACATGATTATCGTGATTCCATGTTTTCATTCATGTTTATTAGTTTATTACTATATATATATATGTATTGCTTTCCCTGATTCCATGAGAATAGAACTCCGGGTTACGCCCGAGTTCACTCTCTAAGCAATTAGCTTAGGACGTTGTTACGCAATATTTCAGGTCGTAAGCAGCAGTAGCCGCGGAGCGGACATCGGAGACCTAGATGACCTGTTGACTGATCATGTATAATTATATATTTATGATACGCTTATGCTTTTGGAAAAACGGTTTTATATTATATCGGTGGTAGACTTTTAAGGTTTATTGTAATAATGAATTCACTACCACTTGCTATGTATAATTATCTCTGGAATAATATATCATATATGTATAAAAGAATGTTTCCCTTCCGCGAACTCTGAAAAGAAAAATTTTAAATTCCCGCGGATTTTTGGAATTGTGTTTTTATTTTAGTTGTCTATGTAACGCAACTCGTATTGCGGGATACGGGTTTCGGGTGTCACAGTCACAACCTGTTCCGATTTTAGATCAGAGTTGGATCTTATTTTTATCGAGTTTATATGATGAAGTTGTTCTTAAAACTATAGCCTAGAAAATTTGTAAAGAACAAATTGCAAAATAACAACAAGAGAAGAACCTCAGAATCTGGTAAACCTGCAGCTTAAAACCTTGTTTTAAGTTGAACGACAAGGAGAACAGAAGCCGAATCTATTACATATAACATTTTTCATGTGCATGGCCCACACACAGCAATGAAGAACGAAGCTCGAAAGAAGAAATAAACCCATCTCCAAAACGCTGTGTTCCACCTGCATCGAACCGGGTTAGTAAACCGGATCCCGGTTTGCGGCAAACCAGAAAGGCTAAAGCCTCTGAGAGAGTCAGAGACTCCACTCTCCGCCAGACAACAAATTCAATTGAATTGAATAATTTAGTATAATAAAGAAAATTTATTTTAGTTAACAAAAAAAAATTATTTTCATAAATAATATTAACTAAATAGAATATACAAATATATAATATCAATCTCTTGAAAATAATATAATAGAAACAATTTTGAAAATATTTTTGAAACTCCATAAATATTATATAAAATAAGAAAGAGACAATAGAGATGAAATGAATATATGTATACGTGAATATATTCAAAATATTTAAAATTTTATTTATATTAAAAAATAGACTTAAGAATTTTTATTTATATGCATTACAACACTTTCCATGAGACTGTTGAAGATAATACGGGAGGAGCTGAAACTCAGCCTTGACTATCGAAGAACAAGGCAACACCGACATTTTCTCAATCTCATTTCTTTTCTTGTCACACAAGATATTAAGTTTCCTTATATATTTTGTCATTAATGTACATTCCTTTTCTTTAAAACTTGCATATATGTACAACGCATCATTGTGTAATATTATCAAGAG